TGTTCCGGGTGGTGGTGGCCGTGGACAGGGCCCTCGCCTTGGTGGGGGCCGTGTTCCAGAATTCCAAGGTGGTGGACTTCATCCTGCAAGGCAGCGCCCCCTGGAGGCGAGGGCGCCCGGCCCCCTGCCCCACCGAGGTTGGTGACCGCGTCGGGTCCTGGCTGGAGGGGAGGCCGGCCAGGTGGCTACTCTTAGGAGAGCCGAGGGCTTTTGTCTCTTCTTCTTCTTCTCCTCCTCCTCCTCCTCTTCCTCCTCCTCCTCCTCCTCCTCCTTCTTCTTTTAATATATTCTTATTGATGTCAGAGAGCAAGCGGGGGAGAGAAAGAGAGAGAGAGGAACATCAATGATCAGAATCATGGATCGGCTGCCTCCTGCACGCCCCCCAGTGGGGATCGAGCCTGCAACCAGGCATGTGCCCTGACCGGGAATAGCACTGTGACCTCCTGGTTCATAGGTCGACGCTCAACCACTGAGCCACACCGGCCGGGCCTCTTCTCCCCTCTTGTGCCTCCTGTGGGACCAGTTGATGAGGAAACGGGGAGCAGAGCCGTGAAGGTCATAGGCGGGTTCAGATGGGGGTGGTGAGCTGTGGGCAGTGGGCAGTGGACAGCTCCAGGGGACACAGGCCCCGAGGGAGCGCGGGACCTTGAAGCTCCCTCCCACGCCATGACCTCTTTGCTCCTCTGTGTCCCCCGTGGGTGGCCGGTGGGGAGCGGCCCATCTACCCCGACAGGGCCCCATTCAGAAACCCAGCACCCCCCCTTCCTGTCCGCAACCTTGTGCCCTGTCCCTGTGTGGGCGAGAGTGCAGCTGCCTGCCGGAGGTGTTGACAGGGACCCAGGGGCACACAGGCCAGGCGGGCAGGAGCCGGAGCCTGGGGGTGGAGGGTGGCATCTCTGGGAGCCCCGCTTCCCAAGGTTGCGTAATCGAGCCTGGGTAATGGAAGTTTGGCTGGGGTGTGTGTGTGTGTATGTGCGTGCGCGCCCGTGCGAGGTGTGTACAGGCAACGCTCTGTTTGGGAACAGCAAAGGGGCAGCTGCTTAGCAACACTCCGGGGCCTGGAGCCCTCCAGCCTCTGGCAACAGATGAGCTGGGGTCTCAGGAGCTCGGCCTCCCTTCCTCACCCCCAGCCTGGCGGGGGCGGTCCCAGCCGACCCTCCCCTCTGCCGGCCACGTCCCCCAGCGCCGCCTCCACCCCAGGCCCCTCCTCTCGGCACCAGCCCTGTAAGTCCTGCCCGCAGGGGAGTCTGGCCTGCTCTCGCCACTGATAACCACCACCCTCAGCATTATTTTATTTTATTTTAAAATACGTTTTATTGATTTCAGAGAGGAAGAGAGAGGGAGAGGGAAAGAAACAACAATGATAAAAATCATCAATTGGCTGCCTCCTGCACGCCCAACACTGGGGATCGAGCCCACAACCCGGGCCTGTGCCCTAACCGAGAATTGAACTGTGACCTCCTGATTCCTAGGCCTACGCTCAGCCCCTGAGCCTCCCGGCCAGGGACCAACCTCAGCTCTAAATGAGAATTCATCTAAGACGCGCACAGGGGGAAACCATCCCTGGGCTGTGGAGAGCAGCCTCCCTCCCGCCCCGTCCCCCAGGCCCAGGACGAGCCCTGCCCCCAGCAGAGGTGCCGGCTTCCTGCAGTGCCTTCCAGAAATAGCCTGCTATCTGTAAGCTCCTTGGGGTGCACACCACCCCGTGGTTCTGTTCTAACTCAGTCATTACCCACCTGTGCTGCCTCGGTAGTTTTTTACTTCATCTGGGGGGGGGGCATCATTTCATATTAACCCCAGAGAGCTCCTCGCTTTTGTCCGTTGGGTTGCAGCGGCTCCACGGGTGGGGGGCTGTCTCTGTCTACTGGCGTTATTCGCTCGGCCACCCCGTTTGCTGCTCACCCTGCCTCGCCTTTCTGGCTGTTGGGAAAATGGTGCCGTGACTGTCCATCCAGGCGTGAGTCTGTCTGTCGGACGCACCTCCTGGAAGTGGCGATGCTAAGCCACAGGGTGACTTTGTGGAACCCGCAAAGCCACGCCGACTTCAGAGGAGGGTTCTAATGTAGAGGCTGCCATGACACAGGGAGCGCTTGCTGCTGACGGAGCTCACGGCCCGTCGGGTGAACGAAAACGGAATCATATTGTGCGTGTGCGTGTGTGTGCGTGTGTTTTAACATGTTAGTGTTAAACATGTCAAGCATTTATAAAATAGAGATGAGAATGACCTCGGTGAGCCCCATGACTGGAGGCCAGTGGTCCCCACCCATCTTCCTCTTTCCAGAGTATTTTGAAGCAACTTTGATGTATTGGATTTTTCTTCTATAAACATTTCAATATTTTTTTATCCAAAAGAGAAGGATTCTGTTGCTTGTTATCAGCCCTAAGAAGTAACTTAATATCATCACAGCGTTCACATTTTCTTGACCGTCTTATGCTCTTTTTAAAAATATTTTTAAAATTGATTTCCGAGAGGAAGGGCGAGGGAGAAAGACCTAGAAACATGTCTTTCTGGAAAAGAAATGCAAGTGAGAGAGAGAATCATGGATCGCTGCCTCCTGCAGACCCCACCCTGAGGATCGAGCCCGTAACTTGGGCCTGTGCCCTGATCAGGAATCGAACCCTGACCTCCTGGTTCCTAGGTCGACGCTCAACCACTGAGCCACACCGGCCGGGCTGCTCTTTTTTTAGATTTTATTTTGTTTTTCAAGTACAGCTTACATTCAGTATTATTTTATGTTAGTTTCGGGTGCAAAGCATAGTGGGTAGACATTTGTATAACTTAGAACTGATCCTCCTGACGCGTCTGGTACCCACCTGCATCCTAGTTACCACGTGGTCACTACAGCCTCACTGACTATTCCCTGGGCTGTGCTTCCATCCGGGACTCTGCGGTGCCTGCCCGCCTGTCCTTCCCAGTCCCTCCGCCCTTCCACGCAGCGCCAGCCCGTCTCAGGCTCTTCTTTCCTTACAGTGTGAGTCAAGCTCCCAATCAGGCGATTGGCTATATGCTTCATAAAGCCAGCATGTTTTCTTTAATTCATGAAGAAATGAAAACGCTTCATGCGGGAACATGGCAAACAACCGGAACAGGCGGAAGTCTGTATCTCGCGGTAGTCCTCACTCGCATTTCTTTCCCAGGCGCGTGCACATCTTCTGGACTTGGGGCCTTTGCCCTGTCCTGAGTGGCCCGCTCCATCCTCCCCTTCCCGTCTGGCCTCCCTCTGGTTATTCTGTCGGAGCCGTGGGGATGCGCAGGCATTTCTGGGCGGGGAGGGCAGGAGCTTTCTCCTCCCCGAGTCCTCACGCGTCTCGTCTACTCGGCTCTGACCGGCCGCCCGTCTGTCCTTGTGTGTCACACACATCCGGTGGCTACAGCAGGGTCAGCTCCCCGCGGCCCCGCCAGGAGGCCTCCACGCCCCTCCGTGCCCT